GTTCTAATTTAGAGCTCTTTTTGACGTCTCTAGAACCACAGCATTATCGAGACAATTTTATATTCCTTTGCAAAAATCACGGGATTATCGAGAAAATTTTATTTTTCTTTACCAACACTTAGTAGTTCCTATAGTTCTTTTAATTACCTAATATGCTTGATGCAGTTCATAATTATTTCTAAATCTTCCTAAATGCATTCACTGCCTGATGCAGTTCATTATTATTTCCAAATCTTCCTAAATGCATTCACATTGATTCATTATTATTTCTTAATCTTCCTAAATGCATTCACATTGGTATTCGAGTAGTTATTTCTAAATCTTCCTAAATGCATTCACATTGGTATTTGAGTAATGATCAATCTCATACAAAGTTATGAAAATTGCATGGCCTGTGGTGACTACTGTATTACAGGCCGTATGCCTGTCTTCATGTTGAATGAAGGGACTTCATAGACGTGTTTTTAGACGTGAGTCTGCTCGGTTATTTTGTCTAAATGGCACAGACCACGACGCTAGGTGTGAGGGTGGCTTTACTGTAAATTTTAGGAAAAGTTAGGTTTTTAGGGGTAAAGATTTGGGTTATCGCTTATGTTAGAGCACGGGGATATTTATTCCTCTGAGAATTCAGCGCAAGATCACTTATGTTATGTGGGAGTGGGTGGTACTATTCTCTTATCCTGCCCCGAGAGGGGGACAGGGATGTATGAACGATTCCGACCGCTCTTGTAGCTAGAAGGAGCTGCTTGTACTACAGGTGGGTTTATGTTAAATTCCAGGACTGCAGTTAGCCATTAGCGTTAAGTTTAGCTTTAGGATTAAGGTCAGGATTACGGTTAAGGTTCCTGCCGGCGGGGGAGGGGAGCGGGGCCATCTAACCGATTAGATTGGTCCACCTTTAAGTGCATGCTAATTGGCTGCATAACTGAAAGGATGTACTGCAGGATGTACAGCCGCCCTCACATTGAATGCAGGGTCTTCATAGGGATGTTTTTATCAACGAGTCACCTCGGTTATCCCAGTTCATGGTAAAACACAGGACCGGGAAATAACTGTAATACAGACGGTTTTACGCTAAATTCTTGGGAAATTGGGGCTAGGGTTACGGCCAAGTTTGGAGTTAAGGTATGGGTCATTTTTAGTATCGCAGGGGATTTTGCAAGTTAAACCCTAGCAACTGCGATCTTCAGGCCGGGTTCCTTAGGAGAAGAGGAGTCATGGGGGGCCAGAGTGGAAGGAACCGTTTATTATGTACAGAAAAAAGTGAAGAATAGGCAAGAGGGATTTGACTGTCAGAAGAGCGAACACCCACTAGCCACACCGAAACGCATTGAGGTCCCTGTGAGTGGAGCTTGAGAGCCAATGAGCAGACACTTTAAGTCCAGACTACTCTGAGGGTTCTCGTGGAGTCAGCGGCCGTCCAATAGGTAGGTCGATAGTTGCCATCACGAGGGTCTGTGCGGACTTGGCCTACTACATTAGCGTTAAGGCACGGCGTTATTTACTCTCCCTCCAATTTAGCACAAAATCATATCTAGTACGTGGGAGTGGACATTCCTATCCTCGTGTCCTGCCGCGGGAGGAGGGGGAACACAGGGTCGTGTAAACGACTCCGACCGCTCTTGTTTCTCGAAGAAACTGCTTGTAATACAGGCGACCTTATGCTTATTTTCGGGGATATCAGGGTTGTGATTAAAGTCAGGGTTAAGTTTAGTTTTACGACCAAGAGCAGGCTGACAGTTTAGGTTCCTATTCTTGTTTCCTGTCGGCGGGGGAGAGGAACTAATATAACCGATTCCTCCTCCGTCTAAGAAAACGGAAGCGATTGCCCAACTAGCGGTCAGTAGCACCCTGCCGAAATTCCGCTTTATCTTTTCTGTCCTTTTCACTCAGTGCTTTCCGCCTCGGATCTTGGCAGCGTGACAGTGTCTGGTGTGTTTCGACCCTTTGTCGAGGTCTTCCTCTTCGGTCCCCTCCTGTCCGATCGCAAGCGGCGGGTAGCCACCAAGTCCAAATCCGGCACTACCTCGCCAATGTTCAACGAGAGCTTTGTTTTGTAAGTTGGGCGACAATTTCCTATAGAGCTCACCTCGCCCTTGTTTACTTTACATAACTGCCTACTTATTTCGTAGGAAGTAGGCGTGTTTTATATTACTGCTTTGGCATCGTCTGTGTTACTGCCCTACAAACGACAGTCCATCCGCATCGCGCCGGGCGTAGGATGATTAAGAGCAACTACCAGGCGCATCCACAGGTGGCGGGTGGCCTTTAACGAGGAGTTGCTGCGCACTAAACAGGCACTTGCAGCTCAGACCCAATGGGCGATCGAAGGTACCACAGGGACAATATCCCCAGCGCCTGGTTAGCTGTCGATACAGCTGCGCGGTTGTCCATAAGAAGTTGACAAGCCCAAGATGTATATTGCGACTTGGTGGTTGTGTGTTATTGTGCGGCAAAGTAGGTTTACGCTGTTGCCATCTGCCATCCATTTGGAAATTTGGGTTGGGGGGGGGGACAAGAGGGGTAAACGGAGAAGGCCACTTTAGGATGTAAGACTTCCAGTAAAAAGATCAAACTCGCCTCATGCGGTCACCCTAGCCACTTGCACACCTGAGTTCTGAATGGCCGAAGGCCTATGGTAAGCGCAATCTAGGTGGACTTGCCAGCTAGCCAATGGACTTTGGCGAAGCCAAATTCTGCGCATCATCATGAACAACATTCAGCTAACACTCGAAAGTTGGACCGTCGCTTATGGCGAGGTCAACCATATGCTCCACAACAGGGCACTGCAGATGCGTCAACTCGCGCATGAAATAGTCTTAAGTTATACTAAACTTTCACAGCATTTAACACACTCCCTCTTCCCTCATCCACCTGTGCGCGGTGTTAAGATACAGTCAAGAAAACCGAAGGCGGAATCGGGAGCAGGTGGCTGGCGCAGCGTGAGCCTGCACCTACGCGTGCAACCACGCTACCTCCCCTCATGTTCGGCATTTTTCATGGGAGCGCTACCCGAATAAAGTCTGCCGTACCCTGATCTGGTCGCGTGTTGGTCGAGCTACACGGTTCGTTTAGAGTGCACACTCGGCCATACTACCACCCCCTGCATAGGGTGTTTCCTGCCAAATAACAGCCACAAGAGAAAATGAATATCCCCAATGTTTGGTGTCGGGCGGATTTACAGGACCGTTCAGGT